AAAAAAGAGAGAAGAGGGGGGGGGGGGGGGGGGGGGGGGGAAGCATCAAATTTTCAAGAAAACTCATTTCAGACCAAAAGTGGCTGAAATGGGTTGGAAATGTCACATTTGGGCATATTTAAATATTTAAAGCACTATTGAAACGACGGCTTGAATTAAAGGAGAATATTTAATGTTCTGTCGCTGAATATTTAATTGGAAAACTCATTTGATTTCTTGATTTCTGGATGTTCAAACAAACCTAAGAAATGAGAAACAATGTTTTCCAGCCTATGATTTCAATGTGAAACAAACCAAAAAAATAGGGGAAACCCTCTGAAATGTTCAGAATTGTTTTCCAGCCTAGTTTTCTGTTTTTTTTTTTTCCGGAAATGTACCAAACAGCCCCTAAATAGAAAGCTTCGGAGCCAAATACTGCTAGGGCGGAAGAGGTTTCGCAGCTTTTTTTCATTCATGACGAAATTGTGAGTCTCATTGCACATTTGACTCAAGAAAAAAAAAGCTCACAGGAGTTAAAAAAAACTAGTCAAAGCAGTCCACAAAAATACCAATCCACTAGTGTAGCCCTTAATTATAGCATCCATGTGTAAAACTGAATGTAAAATTGGAATTCATATATATTGCGGCCCTAAAAATATATGAGATAATGCCTTTGTTGTTGTTGTCATAGAGCCAGTTGTTATATAGCCAATTGGAAACACAATTATAATTTGTTTTAGAAGAAAATGAAAACAAGTTCATTATACTGTTACAGTTATTTTTGAAATAGATATCATACCAAGATGTAGATGAAATAGTGATTTAGAAAAGTGGTCTTGGTAGTGTGTATCTACACAAGAGAATAAAACTGGTGTGCTAAATCCGCTCTACGCTACGGGAATTTTCAGTTTAAAAAAAGGATAAAGTTTGTTATTAAATATATTTCTTTATAAGAAAATGTAATAATATTTTTTTTCTATGTTGATTTTCCTCCTAGTAAAAATGATTTCTTTGCCCTTAGTGTTTGAATTATGCTTCTTATGAATTGATAGATAGAGTTATGGAATAGGAAAAGATTAACGGTCTAATCTATAAATTTAAAATCCACTACATGTCATCAAGGAGGTTTAACTGAATTAATCATTATCAAAAGTGGTGAATTGATAAATGGAGTTATAGAACGGGAATATGCAAAAGATTTATAGTTTAATCTCTAAAACCTGAGACAAATAAATAAGAGGAAATGATGCACCAACTAAAACCATAATTTCTCTTCAAACTTATGTCAAAAAATTAATCCTTTGCAGGATAATACATTTCTAACATAACTCAATCGTACAAACTACCCATCAAACAAGGTCCTCTAAAGTTTACAGAGCCACATCAAAAGTTTAATAGAAACTTTTATTTTCCTAAAAAAGTAGACACATAAATAATTCAGCTCCAAATGAAATCTAAATAGATACAAATCAATCATAAATCAATCAAGTCACATAATTCCCTGAACTCTTCAACATCATGTATTCATTGCATTCTCATACTCCTTTAGCCTGCAGTTCTATTTGTATATTCTGTGGAGAACTCAATAAAGGAAGCAGAAAAACTGGGTTTTCTGTCATAAGTTGACTTATGCACATGCATAAGTCGGCTTATGACAAGTCGACTTGTGCCCGTGCACGAGTCGACTTACGTTCTGCCCTCCAGTTGCCAGTTTCGTCTCTGTCAAGTCGACTTATCGGGACTGTTAAATCGACTTACGTTCTGCTCTCCAGTTGTCGTTTTGCGCTCGGCAGGGTCGGCCCCAAGGTTTGGGTTGCCCTAGCTCAATCCAATTTTGGCTGCCCCTTATATTAAAAATTTGGTACAAACAATAACGATAACAATGAATACATCTAATACCATTTAGCGTTCTATATTGGGCTCAAACCGATAATATTCTCTTGCAAAAGCAATATTCATATAAGAAAAGATTACATTTGTGCTATAATTTAATTCAAAGAAAAATATTTCTCCTTAAATTTTTTGAGGCGAATTCTTCAATTAAGTCATCATACTCAAGTTTCTCTAAGTATTCATTTTTTATTGATATCATTGCCAATCCATTCAATCGTTCCTGTGACATGGTAGTGCGAAGATTTGGTTTCCCCTCCCGGCCCTGGGTTGCCCTAGCCCCGGGGCTTGGTGGGCTTACCCCAGGGCCGGGTCTGGCGCTCGGTCAAGTCGACTTATAGAGATTGTTAAGTCAACTTATGGTAAGTCGACTTATGATCTCTGATATGTCGACTTACGTGTGTTTTCAGACTGAGTTAGGATTCCTGTTGGCATTATGTTTGAGTTTGATATAAATAGGAATGTGTTGATTATTAGGGTTAAGCAAGGACGTTTTTTAGCAGCTTTTGAAAGAGAATAGTGCATCAATTGTGGGGGGATTTGTGAGAGATCTAGAGAGCTTTTTTTCTAGGGTTTATTGGTGAATTTTGTAACCCTATTTTGTATTCTCTTTATCTCTAATAGTAAGAACTCCCTCCTCATTGTCCCGTGGACGTAGGCAACTTGCCGAAGCACGTAAATTTCGTTGTCTTGCTGAGATTGTGATTTGTGCTTGTGTTTGGTTATGATCTTTCTCGTTCTTGTTTGTGTGACTCGAGTTCCGTTGTGCACAAAAAAGTGGTATCAGAGCTTCAGGTTTGGCTTGAGGCTTATTCGAAGGATTCGCTGAAGGATTCCTATTTGAAGAGTTAGATCGACAATATGGGAGAAGCAAGCACATTAGGTTCGTCTCTTACGAAGGCGATACAGAGTCTGAGCATCAATAATACGAAGATTGATGTTCTGAAGTTCGACGGCAAGATCAATTTCGGTTTGTGGAGGTACCAGATGATGGATGCATTGGATGCACGGAATTTGGAGGAGACTCTTGAGTTATAAGAGAAACCCACTGATATGAAGGATAATGTTTGGAAAAAGATGAATAGTAGGGCTTATGGAGTTATTCGGTCATGCTTGACGCCGGATCTTATTTATGACGTGGTGAACGAGACGTCGGCGAAGAGATTGTGGGAAACGTTCAATGAGAAGTATCTTACAGAGAGCATTGATAATCGGCTTCACTTGAAGAAGAGGTTTTACCAGTTCAAGATGAAGAGGGGAGTTTCCATTAGGGAGCATGTAAACAACTTCACGAAGCTACTTTCAGATATGGCCAATGAGGACATCATGGTTGAGGATGAAGACAAGATGATGTTACTTTTGTGTTCATTACCGGATGATGATTATGGTACGTTCGTTCTCACTATGATCAATGGAAGAACTACTATTAGCTACAATGAGGTGACCTCGGTGTTGGTGAATTATGAGTTGAGAAAGAGTGATAGTGAACCCTTCGAGAAGGCATTAGGAGATGCATTAGCAGTTCAAGGCCGTAGTCCAAACCGCCGCCAAGTCAACCGCTCAAAATCGAAGAATAAAGGTGGCTAGAAGAGTGTTGGTAGAAATCAATGTCGTTTTTGTAAATAAGAGGGACATTGGAAGATTGATTGTCCAAAGATGAAAGACAAAGCCGAGAAAAATAAGAGGAAAGTTATACAAGCTTCAGAAGTGTTTTGCAAAAGCTGTTGGTGAACATTCAGATTCAGATTCTTCGGGCTATTCGTGCCCTGCACTACCGCCGGTTTGCTATGCCGATTCCACGGAGTGCATGTTGGATTCAGAAGCCACATATCATATTTGCCCGATGAGGGATTGGTTCTCCAGCTTTAAGGAGCTAGAAAGAGAGGATGTCGTGCTTATGAGTAATGATCACGTATGTCCTATTGGTGGTATTGGTTCAGTCCGGATCAGGATGCATGACGGTGTGATTATGGAGTTGAAAGAAGTGAGGTTCGTACCGTAGTAAACGAAGAACATCATTTCTCTTGGTATTTTGGAGGCAGCAAGTTATCGGGTGATCTTAGAGGATGCTACTGTGAGGGTCAAAAAGGGGTCGATGATGGTGATGTGAGGAGTTAGGGAAAAATTCCTATACTACTTGAAGGGCAAGACAGTTACAGGAGGTCTGACAGCTTCTATCACTACAGAGGAGGACACTACTGTTAGACCCTAATACCACTAGGAAAGAACCCTAGAAGGGAGGGGGGTGAATAGGGTTTATGCTAATTTAATCTCATTTAATACCAACTAAAAACTTATTAACAAGTTATCCTAGCAAATAAGATATGCAATGAATTATTAGCAAGCATAAGAAATATAAACAAAGGGTAAAATAAACAAACTACAAATGTGATAGGGCAATATACACAAAGAGTAATAAACAACGGCGATATAAGATAAACACAAAAGTAAATGCGCCAATGA